AGGGAGAAGATAACAGTGATATGTCTTCATTGCAGCACCAAATGTGCTTGTTTTCATTTACACTTACGCTTAAATTTTGATGTGCATACACTAAGGGATCTATAATACAAGTAGAGACTCTAACAAATAATACATTTTTCAAGTACATATGTATTTTATTAGTTTCTCAACATTTTTTGCTGACAATCGAAAAGATCAAGTATTTCGATTGACCATCAGCTGGATTTCAAGTCCTTATATTATTTGATCAGTTGAGTCCTTAATAAATTGATTATTTTTTATACTTTGACTAATAAATTTTGATCCTTGTGCCAAAACAAAAGGCAGTTTTAAATTTTGTTTCTTTTCAAGAAAAATGAATGGTGTCTTCAGTTTTCTTCAGTTTTCCTTCCTTTTTAACTGTCCCATCTTGGTATGCTCTAAAAGTTAATGAAATGAGTGGGTCATAGTCGTCCCCTCTGTTTTCCCCAATGATGTTACACCTCAAGCTTTTACAGGAGGAGCTTAAGAGTGTAACTGCAGGGGCACCCTATCTGGACCTGTAATAGTAGATTCTCAGAGATACAAGATATTGCTTTTAGAGGTACTAATTACTTCTGCATGGCTATTGCTAGTACAGCTGCTTCTGTATCAAAAAATGTTTTGCCTATATAGCTTTATTAGTATATATGCCACCTCCAGACATGATTGCAGTCTTTTTGGATCTAGTTGTTATGGGTAAAAAGTTTATTACTACTCAGGTGGAGCTTACCACTTCCACAGTTGAGATAATTTTGCCTGTGAACTGCCCTGATCAATGCTGGTGCACAGTTAGTTGTCACATTGGTTTGAACCATTTGTTCTGCACTAAATTGATTGAGGAGCATGCAGGTGATGTCTGAAAGTGTATCGATCGTGGGAATATTAAGGATTGTGTGGAGGGATGTCCTGAATCTAAAAGGAGTGTTTTGGAGAGGTTACTGTCACTTTTTCTTGCAGCTGCCTCAACAACTAATTCTTACAGCACTTCCCTGCTAAAACTGTTTCAGACTGTTAGAAATTTAGTTTATAAAGTAATACTACAAGAACGGGGGAAGTGCTACTTCTCACCACAGGATGCTTTTATGTTGTCAAAAAAGTAATGTCACCAGATGTTCAGAAATAGACTAAACTTCCACATTAATATTAGATCAGGATTCAGCAAACCTCTTCAGCACATGATTAAATTTAAGGTATGTTCATATTTTACCATCTTGCACTTCATTTTTAATCCAATGAGCATAGTGACCTGCTGCCACTGTGGATACAGTTAGATCTGAAGAAGATTGTGTGGTTTCGGAAGAGATCTTGGCCACTGGGATAAGACACATTCCTTCCATCCATATCCTAATTTCAAGACCAAGTGAGTGACCTGAGCCCTGATGCACAGGGCTACTTGTGGATCCTAGAGAAACAGGAGAAGAAAACTGAGCTCAAGCGATCAGCTACCCTTGCAGCATCGTAAAATTATGTTCTGCTGTTGAGTTGCCTTAACTCCTGCTGGAATGAGCCAGCCTGCCTCATTGACCTGTTACACTGAGCTTCAAAATCCCAGACAAGGCACCGTAGCCAATGATTAAGCCTCTTGCAATGGGAATGTGAAGCAGGGCAAGATCTTTACCTCTATTTTACCTGTGCGATACACTTTCTCTTATGTAATATGCAGTAGCAACTAATGCTTCAAGTGGCATTTACTCTTCTATGTACTCTGTTTAAATCACTGAAAATGCAATATGCAACATAATTTCAGTGATGCTTCCCGAATTTAAGTATTTGGCCTAAATAGTTCATAAGATTTATAGTGGGGTGCAAAGAAAGCATCTTTTTCTAGATAGCAGCTTTTGGGCCATCGGTCACTTCTTTGGTGGGAAATGAGAATGTTTAATTCTGGGAGATATGAGCTGTAAGCTGGTAACATACAAAATGAAGCTGATGAAGGAACTGCATGTGCTGTCCGATGACTTTCTGCTATTTCGTATCTGACTGGTGTCCATCCTAAGGCCAAACCTTTAGGCAGTGAGCTAGCATGCGTTGAGCAAGATCCTACCCCTAGTTTTGCAGATGTTGCTCTGCAGTAATCTACTTCAATCTCAATTTGATTTTATACATATATTTGCAGTTCATAATCAACTGTTGCAAATCAGCTTCTGGAGACTGAGACAACAGTCAGAGTTTCTAATACTTAACAGTTTTACCACATTACGTGTTACCATGTCTGGGTTTTGATGATGCTGATTCTGAAGCATGTGACGGAATGGAGGAAGGGGGACCTAACTGGGAAAGTAAGCTAATATGATATCTGAATGAGACTTGCAAGTCAGGAATGAAGACCTCTGCTCTGCTCTGTCCTGGTTTTGAACGCTTTTTTTTTTACTTTCTATCAATATCTTCCTGGCTAGAAAGTACAATAGTCTTTTTGAACTGGATTTTTTTAGATTATTATTTTTGGCTTGATTTAGGAGTTTAAAAAATCCTCAAAATATCTTTTCAGACTCTCTTAAACTTTCCATATATAGTAAGTATAATATATGACTCCTAGAAAAATTTTTTTAAAAAAATAAATTTTCTTGTAGATGTCCTTGTAAAAATGTACATTCTTCTTTTATCTAAATTATGATTAATGCAGTAAATGTGTTTGCTTTTATAGTTCTACATTATTCATTTTTCAAAGGAAATTAATGTTTAATTTGCCACCTAGTGTACAATTAACTGTTTTTAATTTGTCAACTGTGTGAACTTTCAGTTCCAACACTGCAGAAGCAAATATCCAAACACCCCCTGATTTCTAATAAGGCGTGCAGATCTTCTCACGTCTGACGTTCACTCTGAGGACATAGAGGGGAGGCAGTCACTGCTGCAAATGTAATTCCATAGGTGTTTTCTTACTCTTAGCATGAAGAACACCTGCCTCAGATGGATGAGCAAAACAAAATGCTGAAAGAAAAATTAGTATCTCGTCTCCGGTTTGAACCAGAGAGGACAGAAGTACTGCTTATGGTAAGAGGCAGGTATCTCGTGTGCGACCCAGCTGACAGCAGTGAACTCGTGGGAGCATGCATGGTTTTAAACTAGACAATATGCTAATATTTTAGTTGCTGTTAATATCCTCCTAGCTACAGTCCCATTGTACTAAAAGACTGACTTAGAGTTAACTATTATAATTATGTAGTTAAATACAAAAGCGTGTACGTTCCTGATTCATTTCTAAATCCAGGCGCTCAAAAGCTCAAAATTAGATCTTTAAAAATTCTGGTGAGTTGCTGCTAATCCTGGAGTCGGGATTATCTCGTGTACTCCTACATCAAAGCTGGTGCTGTTGCATGTGCGCCTCTGGACTGGACTCTCTATTTTTACATACAGCAATTTTTTAAATTTTTTGTTTTAAATCTGACTTCTGTCTGAAAAAATGCTGTGTGTGTACACATGGATTGCATGTTTAATGCCTATGCAGTTGTGGGAGTGAAAGTCTTACACCTAGGAACGGTGTAAGGAAAACATCAGAGGCTTCATTTATCTTGAGGAATTTTCCTGGAGGAAGTACTTGATACTCAGTAACAATTAAAATATGGGAATCTGGAATAAAAGCTTTTTTTGCTTAAAACCTAACTACAGTCCTGCCATTGTTGGTGGAATCTCCTTAATTTATTATAACCCCGTGCCCTCTGTCTCTCCAGAGCAGAGTACGATGGAGAGCCTCGCATGACTTAACTGCTCTTACCAAATAAGCTACAGTATAAGTTAGCCTTCATCATTTCAAATATCTTCTCATAGCAGTAAACTGTAGCTCTCAAATATGAAACAGAAACCTTATATTCTGTTTTCCATTATCTTAGCTTTTTCTTATCCAGTGTAAACTGTTTATTCTCATCTTTCATATAGGGTACCAAAGTTCTATTTTATGATGCTAATTTAAATAACGAAAATCAGACCTCTACATTTTATATATGTGAATCCCCTACTCCCTCTATAAACCCATGTAAATTAATCTAATTTACCTGATTAATGGAGGTATTTTCATTTAGCTAGTGTTTGCCTCAAGTGTCCTGAAAAACAATGATTTGTTGTTCTAAATTTAGAATTTCTTTTTCTGAACGTTTGTAACTATTTCAGGCTTCGGTTGATGGAAACAGGAGAAAGCAATTTTATATTCCATATGAAAATACTAGACATTAATTTTAGTGCTCTCAGCACCATTATTTTTAAGTCATTTATTAAGATTCTTTTTATAAGTAAAATTTCATGCACGTAAAATGCTGTATATCTTAACTCAGAAAAATTCTGTAATGAAAGCTGAGTTAAGCCATCAGTTGATGTGAAAATGTTTTCCATAGCTGTTAAATAAATGCCTTCTTTGATTTTTTTTTTTTTTTAGATTATAACATATGACCACTCAGTCAATAGTTACTGAAATTAATGTATTACTCTGCCCTTTGTTCCCAGTCACCCTCAGCAGAGAAGAAATACCCTATTCTTCGCACAGCAGTTTACAGAGCAAGCACAGAAAGGAAACACAAAGCGGAAATAAAAGAGGAAGGCGTGTGTTTTGGAAATGTGTATGTGTAATTATATTTCTTTACAATAACTTTTTGTACTTTACTACTTAAAATTTGTAACAACAATGGATGTCTTCTACTGAATTATTTGACTGCTTCCCTGCAAATTCTGTGAAGCCTGGATTGACGCTCCAGCATAAACTTTATAATCTTCACCCATTGCAATAGAGTCTGATCTAGTTTATGTCACTGAAAATCTGGAGAAGTGCTAGTGAAGTCATTGCAAAGCAAATACAGCCTAGTCAATGGGGAATTATATACTATATGAACCTATATTAGTATTTTTCAAATTTAATGATGGAATACGATGACTGAGTTGATTTAGTTGTTTAATGTTTATTGTCTTGAAGTGAAACTAAAGGAGTGTTCATATTGCTCTCAAATACTGTACCAAAACCCATTGAAGTGGCATGACAAGGTGAAGGGGTGATGTATACTTGCCAAGAACTGAAGGTTCAGAAAAATTGCTGTAGTGGGATCAGTGAAGTCCAGGATTCTGTCCCTAAAAGAGACATTGATCCTTCACGCTCTCGTGGGAAGTGCGTATATAGTGTGGGGCTGCTGCTAAAGCAACAACTTCTGGCACATGAGTTTTGGACAACTTCAGCTGCTCCAAGTGATTCTTCTTTGATGCCTTTGCCACTACGATAGAATCTAGATTATGAATTAGCCTTTTTAGTCTGAATTATATATCCTGAATTTTTGACAGCATATCCACAACGGAGTTGGACCAACAGTTAGTTGAAGCATAGTTAATTTTAATTCATTTTCCCACTGTTCCCGTGGTTTATTTTTCGTTGTTTTTCTTATGTTTTCATACAGGCAGGCTAATGTATTGCATATACTTTTCAAAGCTCTCTACCTTAATTTTGAATCACTTTTTCTTGCATATTGAGCTTATTTAAGAGATTTTCAGATTGGTTTACAAATCTAAGAATGAACTTGAAAAAAACAGACAATATAATACAAATCCTGTAATACAAGATTCTTATTTTTATACTTTCTCTAGGAAAGAATTTAATTTAAAAAATACAATTGATTACCTTCTTTTTGCTTTCATAGCAGATACCATGCTGTTGGAATTACTAAGAGTGAGAACAAATTACAGCATTAATTTTTTTAAATATTATTTTCTTAGTTGTGTTTTCCAGAGCTTAAACTTAGTTTAATCTTGAAGCTCTCTTACCTTTGAGGCTAATGAAAAGAATGATCAGGTTTTATATAATATTGCTTCTGACGTCTATAGTGTCAGAACACAAGAGGTAGGGCTGTAATTTTATTTTGATTTCTTTCCCCATCCTCACTGTATATTTTATTCATCATGAATAAAGTTCTTATTTTGTGCCATAATCGTAAATGCAAACCATTATACAAGTCCTATTTTAGTTGATTGTTCTGTTTTGCCTGTATGACTGAATCTTCAGGGTGTTTTCCTAATAGTGTATATTGTTCAATTTTAGACTCTCAGGAATACATAAGGAGGGAAGAGAAGAATCTGTTTGTCAGCCTATTAGCATGTCAGAGCATGAGACAATGAAATTTAAAAGGAGCATGACAAAAACAGTGTCCTTAATGTCAAAGAATGAGAATTTGAAAAAGACACTTCCCAAAGCTTCTGCTTGCAAAGGAGTTCAGCATGGTTTTGGCGCATCACCTTCTTCTCCTGTACATGGTAAAGTGCCTAAAATGACAGAAAGTGGAGTAACAAAAGATATGGCTTTCTTTCCTCATCGTTGTAACAATTCTTTTCCACACACTTGTAAATATACAGCGAGCTCCAACGCATTTCTAACAAAGAACACTGTAAGTCACAAGCATACCAGTTTTTATGTTAAGGGTGGTCTGATCATTTATTTTCTGTTTTTCTACTGAAAATAGCAGTCTTACTGGGTTTCTAATATTTGGTGAGATATAATATTGCAGTGGGCAGTTGTAGCATTGTCCTGGTTTTGGCTGGGCTGGAGTTAATTTTCTTCCCAACAGCAGGTATAATGCTGTGGTTTGGATTTAGGATCAGAATAATGTTGATAACACCCTGATGTTTTTGGTTGTTGCTTGGCAATGCTTACACTAAGTCAAGGACTTTTCAACTTCACATATTGCCCACCAGTGAGGAGGCTGGGGGTGCACAAGAAGCTGGGAGGGGACACAGCCAGGACAACTGACCCAAACCGGCCAAAGGGATATTCCACACCATACGACACCATGCTCAGTATAGAACTTGGGGCTTAGCTGGCCGGGGGTTTAGACCATGGCTCAGGAACTATCTGGGCATTGGCGGTCTGTGGGTGGTGAGCAATTGTGCTGTGCGTCCCTTGTTTTGTATATTTTATTTACTTCTTCTTCTTCTTCTTCTTCTTCTTCTTCTTCTTCTTCTTCTTCTTCTTCTTCCTCTTCCTCTTCCTCTTCCTCTTCCTCTTCTCTTCTTCCTTTTCTGTCATATTAAATTGTCTTTAACTCAACGCATGAGGCTTACTTTTTTTTCTCAATTCTCTCCCCCATCCCACAGAGAGAGGGGGAATGAGCAAACAACTCTGTGGTTGTTTTAGCTGCTGGCCAGGTTAAACCATGACAAGCATAAACATGCACTCTTGTCTTTCTCCCTAAAGCCTTTAGAAGGAAATGCTTTTCTTTGGGTATTACAGGGATGTGAACAACACTTTCTTTGTATGTGGTGAATACATAAAAAGACTCCTGCAAAACTTCACATCTTTTAAAAAAAAAAAAGGAATAGTGGAGATGTAACACTGACTTTAACTCAGTAGACTAAGTGAAAGTGCATAAAAGCATGTGTTTGTTCTGATTTTAAAAAGTTACAGTTATCCATACTTCTTTTCTGTGTACATTTACCTATTCAAAGTTTCTTTAAGTGAGAAGGCTGTGTAATATGTCTTGAATATGCTTTTTCCACCAGATGTTAATGAAAACTAAATATATGATTGTCTTTGCTGTTGTCCTCCAATCAACCTGGGTTTTTTCAAAGTGTGAAGTGAGATCATCTCTCTCAAATACAAAATCATAATTCATGGAAGTTGTATGTATGGGGAAATGAAACTACTCACAAAGACTTGGTGGCCTTGTGATTACAATTCTTGCTCTTGAAAGTCACTGCACGTTCCCAACTGACATCAATGGGTCAAAATTCAAGCAAGTCTGCAAGCTGGAGTTCATTTATGTCAGCAATTTTTGCACTACGCTTTGAGTGAAACTTGCAGAAAACATTTTTGAATCAATTGTGTCCTATAAATTTTCAGCACATAAAACATGACTATTGAGAAACTACGCCTTGTTAAACAAGGCATTGAAGTGTAGGGTTGTACCAGCCCATCTGGCTGGGATGGAGTTAACTTTCTTCGTAGTAGTCCATATGGTGCTCTGCTTTATGTTTGTGGCTAGAACAGTGTTGATAAGGCACCAATGTTTTGGCTATTGCTGAGCCGTGCTGCTTTTCTGGAGTCCAGGCTTGCTTTCTTTTAGCATGGATGGAAAGGTTTTCTGATAATAAACAGGGCCAAACAAATGACAAAAGTCAAAGTGAATGTTATCCTCATTACCTAATGGGTTACACAGGAAACAAGTATTACATTTCTGATCCAACCACACTGAAGTAACTGATGTCAATTAGTGATCTGAATACAAGTTTTAATGTATTGCCAAAACAAAAAGAAGTGACGTCTTATGTATGTGCATGTCTCTATACAAATATTAAAACTAGATGTTGCAGAAATGTAAACTTGTAGGAAGGTTAACTGAAATTAGAAAATAATTGTGCATAATGATCTGCTTTAAATGACAAATATTTTCATTTTTAATGTGTTGCTTGCAGATAATATTAGAAAGACTGGAATGCAAACAGCCATTTTGGAACCAAGTTGCCATAAAAAGACTTGTGAGCAACCAAAAGTGGGAAGATCTTCTAAAAAGCCTTTGGGAACCAAAGTTCATTCTTATGATAGAACAGGTACATAAGTTGTAGCGTCGGGGAGGGAGACTATGTTATTAGTTATGCCTGTACAGCCAATGTATTTACTTCAGATTTGCATGGGAATAATGGAGAATATACTCATCTGCTACTCTCTTTCCTCATCCCTCTCCTGCCTTTAGAGTAGGATACACGTGAGGGGAGAGCTGATATGGCTGTAAATGAGAGAGCGCTGTCATTTCAAATCTTATTTCAAAGGCTGACAGCTTTCCCCTCTGTATTCACCTTCTGATGGCGTCATTTTTTACACCTGATCTCTGAGCAGAATTTACTTTCAGACAGCATTTGAATTCTTATTTTAATGTTCTTTATATTTTATATAAGCTGCAGTAAGTTTTCTTTTCATTAGAAGATTCATAAAGAGGAGTCATGTTTTCCTACTTATCTTCCAGGATTAGTGTGGGGAAAAATAGATTTTGATCATTATTTCTCCATTAAAAATATCTGTCGCTGAATCTGAAAACTGTGAGGAAGTGATACCACAACTGGTTTCTAATTTTTTTTCTTTTTTTGCAAACTTTTTTCTATACATATTATTATAGGGATTAAAAACCATGGGGAAAAAAACCACTTTTAATGCTTTCCAGGACTTCTCAAATTGTTTTCCATAATGTTATAGAAACTTTTGTTCAGCTAGAGTGTTCTTCTCCTATACAGGACTAGATTGGTCTGATTTCTAAAGGGGTACTGTGTTTCTATGTAAAAAGGAATTTCTTTTAACTATTAGAAAGAAAAGTAGTAGTATTATTATTCTTGCATTTTCAACATTCTTTTTGTTTAGCTGAGATTTTGCTCTGCCTTCAGAAGCCTTTTCTCATTTTTCAGTCTTTTAAGCATTTGAGAAGGTCTTTGGCCTGTAAATCATATTTTTCCTACTGAGTACTTTGAATTTTGCTGTGTAAATTACACCAAAGATGAGTGTAAAATCACTGGAAATTGAAATTACTTTGAAGTCAATTGAACATCTGTTCTTCAATTGCAGGAAAATACATCTGGAATATCTGATGCCCTTTTTTTTTTTTTTTTTTTTGAGAAAGACTTTCTAAGATATGTTTTCTGTGTCTTCCAACTCGCTCTGAATAACATTACACCAATCCTCCACACTTGTTAAGGCTTATGCAATGAAACTAAAGAATGAATGGCTGGCTGGCTTGTGCAATGAATCTGAAGATGTTATGTTGAAGGGAAAAAAAAATAACCTTTCTTTTTTTTCTTTTCTCGATGTACCAGAACCAGTTGATGATGACATTATAATGCATATTCTGAGGCTTCGAGGCAAACTTGGCTGGCAAACAAAGTTACCATCGTGTAAATGGTTAGCTAGAGAGGCTGATGTGGCCAGATTTCAGAAGTTCACGCTTACGGTGATTTTTACTTTCCCTTCTCCACATCCTGTGCGATTACACATTCTAGAAACAGTGTTGGTTACAAATGTTAAATACTTATTTCCTGAAAGATTTTGCCTCTGAAAAAGGATGGATCTGATCTTGGAATCAACAAAATGTTTAAAAAGAATAAACTAGGAGAATTCTAATTACCAGAATTGAATTTGATTACTTAAAAATAGGAAGTGGAAGCCAAGATTACACTTTGCAATGGTCAGAGCCATAGAGGAGTTCTAGGAGGAGATGGTACCTAGAATTATTCTGGGAAGAGAATAGTGGTACCTAGAATTATTTATTCCATCTCTGGGCGCATTGCAATCACTTAAACTTAGTACTTAGCCAATAATAGTTGAGCTATTCCAGCACTAAGTAGAATTGTGGTCATGTCTGTACTGATCAAACATGCCAAGTATGAGGCCAGTATTTGTTGTGAGTGGTACTGGGCAGTCTGCTCTTGATATAGCCACATGGGACACCGCCTGTGTTCTCTTACTAATTTGGTGCATTCCATGACAGACAGACACATATCTGGTTTCATTATAATTTTGCATATGTGTTTTTTCATTAACAAAAAAAAAAGAGGAAAAAAAAATCAGGTTTCTTTCAATGTGCTCAATGTTGTGAGATATTTTGAATGCAAAATGAAAATGAAGTCTATGATATATTTTGTCCCTTGGGACTTTTGATTTCAGATATAGCTGCAAAAATTTTAAGAAACATTACAGTTGTCCACAAAACTAAAATTTCTTCCAGATATAATGATATATTTTCAAAACAACTAGGTATCACTGATATTTACAATCTTTAACTGTATAGGTGTTTGCTACTAAAGAGCTTTATGGTGTTTTTTTAATCTTCACAGTGCTTACCACTGTTTTTATAGATGGAGAATCTTAACTACTGAAAGTTTTTTTCAGGTTTGAATAAAAAAGTTGTAACACTAATAGGGTTATATGAGACAGTTTTCTCAATGAGAAATAGTAATATTTAACTAGCTGCTGGTGGAACTGAAAAATAATTAATTAGAGTGGAAATAATAGAAAAATATTATGATAATAGAATTAGATTGTAGTCAATTCAGTGTTGCTACTAAGCTTATCAGAATATTTGAGTACTTTTTAATCTTTCTTCTCATAGTAAAAAATATAGGTATATAACTTGTAATCATGACAAATATATTTTATATATATATGTATAAAAACAATTTTCTCCTTTGACAGAGACCTTTATTGCTAAAAGATAGCGGGGAATATATATATTGCCTTGAATGAAACAGGAACAACTTTAAAGCTCCCTACAACCCATATGATTTACAGGCCGTCTCTATGAGTACAGCAATGCAAAGCAAAGAATATTGGACTGTTACAGCCCCATTTGTGTCTAAGGTAGTATGTTGCACAACACACAGAACAACACGAACCAAGAGATTTCCACAGAAAGAACATTTTTCTTTTCATTTATTATCACATCGCATTCCCATCGCAATTATGTTCTTTGCTTGAGGTCTCTCCTAAGGACAGGTCCTCTGTTGGCTTTGAGCTCATCCTTTTGCTCAGGCACGTCTTTAGATCTTGAACTACAGTATAATTCAAGACTAGGTCTATCAGAAGACGGGTTACTTAAAACTTAGCACCCGCTAATCCACTATCTGCATTTCTGGGCGTAGTAATGTGCAACAGGGAATACACTCACATCCTGCCTGTTCTGACCTCAGACAAGGGCATGCCTTCCGCTCATAGTTGTGCATGGGAACTGGTGATGTTCATGACTTATCTTTGCATTTACTCTTTGCATTGTAACTAGGTATGCCCTTGGTGACTTACTGATTCGTCTTTGTTTAGTCTTGACAGCATTTTCTTTGTAAAAAAAAAAAAAAAAGGTCAAAGCTTATTCTCTAACTCCAAATGACATCTCGGGACTGGTTTAAGCCTATGTAAGGCTGCTGAGCGACGGGCTCTAAGCTACCCTCTCCATTGCATTGGCACTGGTGATTTCATGGCCGGTATGCTGGATCATCTCACTAATTTAGCTGAAAATGAATGAAAATACTTCATATGTGTATCTATCTGCTTGCCAGGTTAATTTTCAGTCAGATTAGAGAGCTAATCCATCTCACCAAGAGCACAGAGTACTGAAAAGAAGCACTAAAAATAATACCTTTTAAGAATATGAGCACCACATTGCATGATGTTTCATCAGTTCTTAAATGTCTTTGAAGACACCTCAACTTTGAAGCCCTTTTTCTCTTTAGCATCAGTAAATTTTAGAATTAGTATGACACTAAACTAGCATGGAAGAAGTGATAATTGCATAATTTACATAATTGGATTGTTGCTGGATGCTAAAGTTAAACTTTTTGTTGTATGTATGAGATACATGATTTGAATGTCAGAAAATTACAGACATAGCTTAGCAACTGATGCAATTACTGTTGTTAAAATGGAGAAAATGTGTTTTCTACCAGTGGAGGTACTCAGCTTTTATAAAAATAGATTGGAAGAAAAGAATAAATCTTGAGAACCTGACTGGGAAAAAAAGGCTGCGACCTTGTTCCTTTGCCTTCAGAATGCTTGCTGTACTACAGAAATTTGAAGTACAGCCTTGATTTAAATACAAAGTGATGTGTTCCAAAACATCTCTGATTGATAAAAGATCTAGTACTTTCTTTGGCTAAACCAGAGAATGATTCATTCAAAACAATTAATTAGTGCTTAGTAGCCAGCCTTCTATCTCTTATACTCCTATGAAAGATAATGAAGATTTCTACAAAAGTACATCTGCCCATTGCCACTTTACTGTATCTGCCCATTGCCATTTTACTGTATCCTTGCCAGTCAGACTCCCTAATTTGAAAAGGAATTATGCTAATTTGCAATTCGTAATGTTTATATCCTTTCACACAGGTGAAAGGATTCTCCTTTGGAGACTGCAAATCTATTTGCTTACCCTGTTGTTGATGTGGTTCTGAGATGCTGTTTGCCACCTTTGGGTGGGTCTATCTGCCCACATTGTATTGGAAATCTTTCCACAAGTCTAATTCTCCTTTCCTCTCGTTCAGCTGTATCATGTAGTGATGGGAAGAAACTGATATTTCATAGTTTTACTTCTAGCAGTAAATACGTACATTCCGATTTCTCCTCCTTACTTTGTGTGAGATAAAGCATTTTTATACAAGAAAGGTACTCACTAAGCCTAGATTAATGGCTTTTATAAGGTACCGAGGAGCTTTCCTAACTAGGGACAGACTTGGACATCTGCCTGAACGCTTTCCTGAATAGTGGGTATAATGACATACTTTGAATGACAAAAACATCTTGATATTTAAAATGATAAAACCATGTAGTAACTGTAAGCTTGTTCAAAATTAAACAAAAATAAAACAAAAACTGCATTGGTAGACAGGATAAAATGTGTTGAATTTTGCCACCACTGAGTTCATCAGTAAGCACGCCTTTTGTCTTTGATAGTGAAGATTCAGTAATGTTTGTTAAATTCTTTTTGAAAAGGAGTTGTATATTTTTTTTTTCCCCCTAGTTTTCTGCAGGCCATAAATTAGGTGAAATGGAAATAACACCGGTGCCACAATGGCTGCATGAAAGACAGCTCTATTATAGGTTACTCAATTTGAATTTATTTTCCAATTTCAGGTAAGGAAATGAAAAAAAAAATTGAAATTCACCGATTACACTAAACATTTTCAATATCTTTGTATGATAAAATCCCAACTTAATACTGTGTTAATTCCTGCATAGGCATTTTCAAGAATTACAATATCTCAACAGTACTCAAAATCTTTTTGGTTCTTATGTCTAGATCATTAATGGAACCAAACATCCTCTTTTCTCTTTTGCTTTTTTTTGTTTCTTCTTGTTTATTTATTTAACCTTAGAAAAAGTAAAAGTATCTCTAGTAATATCTTCCTATGCACTAAATATTAAGAGGCAAGTTAATTCTTCCATTTTTTCTCTTCCACATTATCTAGAATGTATGAAATAGCTAATACTACTCACCTTATATAGAATGCATTCAAGCAAATTATTTAGTGTAAAATAGAAGAAAATATTTAGTGGCTGACTGTTTTGCAAACATCAGTAAAAACACAATAGCTGAATTTTAACCTCTTGCTTAGTCTAATATTAAATATCCACCTCCTACACATCTGTCTCAATATTTTCCTTTTATAACTTTTTAGTGGGAGATACTAGTTTCTGGTTTATTTTTGTGGTGGGTTGACCCTGGCTGAGGG